CGAACCCGCGGGCTCAGGCAATCCACTCACCTCAGCCTCCCAAAGGCACGGGATTACATGAATTTCTTATCAGGGGTTCTTGGATCCATAAGAGCCCTTTAGGGATCCTTAGAGGATTTAACAACTGTTTTCAGTGTTTCAGAAGCCAATCAAAATTTTACTTTTACTTTTTTCTTTGAGTTGGAGTCTCACTCTATTGCCCAGGCTGGAATGCAGTGGCATGCTCATGGCTACCTCAGTGTTGACCTGCTGGGCTCAGGCGATCCTTCTGCCTCAACCTTCCAAGTGACCAGAACTACAGGCACATGCTACCATGCCCAGCTAATTTTTTGGTTTATTATAGAGATGAGGTCTCTCCAAGTTGCCAGGCTGTTCTCAAAACCGTGGACTGAGGCAATTCCCTAACCTCAGCCTCCCAAAGTGCTGGGATTACAGGCTTGAGCCACCACACTCGGCCAAAATTTTATATTTATCCTCAGGTTAACCGTGCTGTTATTTCATAACTTTTGGTGATAAAATATCACATTGTTTCTCATGCAAATTAGGTGCTCTGAATGGCAGTTGTGTCACTGATTAATTTTTTTAATAAAAAGAAAAAGTAGTAAATATTTGAATGGGATCTTGGTGACTGGTTTGGAAACGCTTATGTTTGTAATTTTGAGCAAAATCACTTTGGATATAAGGAATTTTATATAAAAGGAAGAGAAGCCATATTTCTTGAGTATATACTACAGTGCAAGCCATTATGCAAGGTGGTTTATGTACATTAGTGCATGTAATTCTCCTAACCACCTACAAAGTGGGTGCTATCTCTATTTTACTTTTTGTTTCTACTTTATAGTTTGGTGCTTGGTGATAAGTAACTTGCCAGTGGTTACATAGAAAATTATCAGGATCTTGAATCTGGGTCTCTCTGACTTAAAGCTACTGTCCTTCTCACCACATAGTCTTCTAGCTGTTGCTTGTGACTCACACAGTTTTTCATTTTTCTGTAGTTTAGTCTCTAAATATTTACATGTTTGTAAGGCTGAGAATTGACAAAACACTTTCCAGTTACAGTAGAAATCTTCTATGACCCAGAATTCAGAAATGTTTACATTTGGCTCTGATTTTAGCTGGTGTTTGGAAAAGAAAAAAGAAAAAAATGTGGCACTTACTTATTGTACTGTAATAAATTGCTTTTGACTCAAAAAATTCTGTTACTCAGACTCATAAAAAAACAGTAAAAGGCCGAGTTTGGTGGCTCAGCCTGTAATCCCAGCACTTTGGGAGGCCAAGGTGAGTGGATTGCCTGAGCCCGTGGATTCAAGACCCGCCTGGGCAACTTGATGAGACCTCATCTCTACAATAAATCAAAAAAAAATTAGCTGGGCGTGGTAGCGCATGCCTGTAGTTCCAGCTACTTGAAAGACTGAGGCGGAAGGATCGCTGGAGCCCAGCAGGTCAAGGCTGCGGTGGCCAGAAGCGGCCACTGCACTCCAGTCTGGGCAACAGAGTGAGACCAACTCAAAAAAAAAAAAAAAAAAACCAGTAAAAGTTTCCAAAGCTACCCTTACAATGGTAAAATATAAAATAAGTAAGATAAAAGAACTTTGTTTCTCAGAAAAAAGGTAGGGAAGGGAAAGGACTCCCTAGTTTTGGTCTGGATATCTCTATGTATAAGTCATTTCTTGTAATAATTGAGTTGCTGAAACAGTGACTTTTGTTGTAAACTGTGTCGTTACATCCAGAAAAGAAGCATAGCATTGTGGAATGATTACAGGCTTTAGAGTTAGACTTGAATCAGAAAGTACTAGTTCTGCCTCAAACTAATATGTGACTTTGAACTTCAGCTACTTCACTATAAAATGTAGGTAATTTGACAGTGAAACTGTTGAACATTAAAAAATAAATAAGTAAACGAAAATGGAAATAGTGACACATGTCTCAGAAATGATGGAATGATTTAAGTAAAATTTTATTTGTAAGAAGCAGCTTAGTGTCTAGTATATAGTAGACATTTAATGTATGTAGCTACTTGTATTTATTTATTTATTTAGAGTTGGAGCCTCATTCTATGCCCAGGCTGGAGTGCAGTGGCATGCTCACAGCCATCACAGCCTCAACCTGCTGTGCTCAGGTGATCCTTCTGCCTCAGCCTTTCAAGTAGCTGGGACCACCACACCTGACTGATTTTTGATTTATTTTAGATTTATTTTAGGAATGTCATCTCACCAAATTGCCCAGACTGGTCTCGAACCGTGGGCTCAGGCAATCCTCTCACCTCAACCTCCCAAAGTGCTGGGATTATAGGCATGAGCTATCACGTCCGACCTAATTATTGTTTTAAGTGCCTCTTTGAGCCAGGCACGGTGGCTCATGCCTGCAATCTCAGCACTTTGGGAGGCCGAGGCGAGAGGATTGCCTGAGCTCAGAGATTTGAGGCCAGCCTGAGCAACATGGCAAGACCTCGTCTCTACAATGAATCAAAAAAACTGCACGCCTGTAGTTCCAGCTCCTTGGAAGGCTGAGGCAAAAGGATGGCTAGAGCCCAGCAGGTCGAGGTTGCAGTGGCCAGGAGCGTGCCACTGCACTCCAGTCTGGGCGACTGACAGAGCGAGACTCCAACTCAAAAAAAAAAAAAATCAAAAAAATTAACCAGGCATGGTTCCAGCTACTTGGAAGCTGAGGCGAAAGGATCGCCTGAGTCCAACAGGTGGAGACTGCGGTGGCTGTGAGCCTGCTACTGCACTCCAGCCTAAGTGACAGAGTGAGACTTCTACTCAAATAAGTAAATAAATACATGTCTCTTTGTTTTTCTTCTCATATCTTAGATTATTACACCTTTTCTTTCTTTTTTTGTCACACTGTGGTGTGCAGAACCACACCTTTTCTTTCTTTTTTTTTTTTGAGTTGAAGTCTCACTCTGTCTCCCAGACCGGGTACAGTGGCACACTCCTGGCCACCGCAGCCTCGACCCGCTGGGCTCCAGCAATCCTTCTGCCTCAGCCTTCCAAGTAGCTGGAACTACAGACACGAGCTACCACACCCGGCTACTTTTTTTGATTTATTGTAGAGATGAGGTCTCGCCAAGTTGCCCAGGTGGATCTCGAACCCATGGGCTCAGGCAATTCACTCACCTCAGCCTCCCAAAGCGCGGGATTACAGGCTGAGCCACCAAGCCCGGCTCACCTTTTCTTTTGAAAGAATGTTTAAGACCCACAAAAACAGCCATGTCTTATTTCCCATTGTGCCTGATGTGTAGGATTGCTTTAATTAGAACATTCATTTGATAATTTATGCAACAAATCTAAGGCATCATATAATAAATACTAAAAGAATAGTTTAAAGAAAGTGTTCTAGGAATTAGCTTGAAGAGGAATAGTTGATTTCAGGCCATGATGATCAGATAATAGCTGGCATTTGAGCTATGTCTTGAAGAATGGATAATATTTTGTCAGACAGCAGGGGAAATGAATGGTATTCCAGGCAGAAGAGATGGTTTGAGGAAAGGCATGAGGCAGAAAAGCACACGGCATATTTGGAAGTCTTGTTTAAGGAAAGAGGAGAATATGGTCAAGTACTAGAATGGAAGGCATGAAAGATAAGTTGGAGTCAAATTGTGAAGGGTCTTTAATAACAGTCAATATGCATTTTTTAAAAGGCCTTTGAGGGGAGAGAGTCTTCTGATCAGATTGATCTCCTCAGGCATTACATTGTCTGGCCTTGCCCTGTTATGCCCAATATCCTCATGCTGTCTCCAGCCTTGTCAGCCACCTTTCATTTTCCATCAAAATCTAACTCTTATATCTCATCCCCTCAAGCCCCAAAGTATTAACAAGGTCATCTAATACGTGACTCTGCAAATGGAAATGCAAATAGAAAAGAGCTAAAGGCAATTTCTAATTTGGTGTAGCCAGCTGAGTATTGTCTTTTTTTTCTTTTGTATTATGGTCAAGATCAGAACTGAGTACAGTATAGTCTTTAGACAATGCACCTATGATTTACTCATTATAACTATTCGTTTATATGTCTCTCTTTGCTGTTGGAGCATAAGTTCCTTGAGGAAAAGGATCATGTCCTGTTCATTTTGGTATACATACTCACTACTATCACAAGCACTAGCAGTGGCACTAACCACTTGGTTGTACTGAAAAAAAGAAAGATTAATTTGAGAATATGTGCTGGATGCATTGCAGGAGGAAGATTGGAGGCACGAAGACCAGTGAGGGAGTTATTACTCTCTAGATGAAATGTGATGAAGCCTAAACTAGCGTGATAGCAATGAGAACAGAAAGGGAAACATGTGAGTGAGTGACACATTTAATGAAGTGAATATTAAGGAGTCATACTGGGAGGTATATTTGACTTGTATGTAGTATGTTAGAATCCAGAGATTGGAATTCATTATAGCAAAGGTTTGTTTAAACTGTACCTCATAGCCTCTTGAAACTCATCTCTACAAATACAGATACCTGAAAGCCATGAAATCTGTGACTTGCTTAGGTTATAACCCTAAATTCCTGCCTTGGTTTTTGTTACTCAAATTTCATTATGTGTTTTGAAAGGACCCTTTCTCATAACCCATACTAGACAATCCCCTATCCTTTTTTTAGAGGTGGGATCTGACTCTGTGGCCCAGGCTGGAATGCAGTGGTGCCATCATAGCTCACTGCAGCCTCAAACTTCTGTGACCCTTTATCCTTTGAGTAAGATTATTCTAGGGCAAAAGCAAACATTTTTCAAACTCAAATTATATATGTCACTGCATCCTATCTGCTCTGTCCAGTTGGGTAACTGCTAGCCACATATGGCTATTTTAATATAAATTAATTAAAATTAAATAAAATTTAATAACAATCATCATTCACACTAGCCACTTTTTTTTTGAGTTGGAGTCTCACTCTGTTGCCCAGGCTTTGGAGTACAGCAGCACACTCATAGCCACCTCAGCCTCAAACTACTGGGCTCAGGTGATCCTTCCACCTCAACCTTCCAAGTAGCTGGAACCACAGATGCACACCACCATGCCTGGCTAATTTATTGTAGAGTTGAGGTCTTGTCGAGTTGCCCAGACTGGTCTCCAACCCCTAGATTGAGGCAGTGTTCTCGCCTCTGCCTCCCAAAGTGCAGATTACTGGCATGAGCCACTGCTCCCAGCAGCATGGTAGCCACATTTTAAGTGCTCAATAGCCACATGTTTGGGCAGTATAGACTTACAAATTTAGAGAATGCCTCCATAATTGCATTCTTTTTGACAACAGTGTATTATATAGTATGTTTGTGAGGTTACTTATGGTGCAGAGTGAGGCAAAATGTAAAATCTAACACAATTATTAGAGGGTAAAATGCTGGGGAAACAAAAGGAGTAAATTATTCCTGCCTTGTGGTAGTCAAGATATTTCATAGAAAATGTGATATGGGCCGGGCATAGTGGCTCAAGCCTGTAATCCCAGCACTTTGGGAGGCTGAGGCGAGAGGATTGCCTGAGCCCAGGGGTTCAAGACCAGTCTGGGCAAATTGGCAAGACCTTGTCTCTATAACTAAAAAAAAAAATTAGCTGGGCGTGGTAGTGTGTACCTGTAGTTCCAGCTTATTGGAAGGCTGAGGTGGAAGGATCGTCTGAGCCCAGTAGGTCGAGGCTGCGCGGTGACTATGAGTGTGCTACTGCACTCCAGCCTGGGTGACAGGGTGAGACTCCAACTCAAAAAAACAAACAAACAAGAAAATGTGATATGAACTGAACTTTGAAGAAGTACTAAGTTCAATGAATGGGACAGAATATGGAGTGTCATTGTCCTTTTTGTTTCCTTTTTTTTATTTTATTTTTTGGTTTTGTTGTTTTTTTGTTGTTGTGGTTTTGTTGTTTTTTTCTTGCGAAGTTGCCCGGGCGGGTCTCAAACCCTCCGGCTCAGGCAGTCCACTCGCCTCGGCCTCCCAAAGTGCTGGAATGACAGGCTGAGCCACCGAGCCCAGTCTTTCCTTTCTTGAGCTTGCATGCCTTGTGAAACTGTTGGCTAAAATATATGAAGTGGTTAACTTAGTTTTGTTTTTATACAGCTCTCCTGCATTTCTCTGAGTAATGTAGTTGATTTGACAGAATATTTCTCTGTTTTTACTAGATTATTAGAGACCAGGTAAATGAGTTTAAAATCTTAGGTAAAATTAGAGTTCAAAGTTAAATAGATTCCGGTAAAAAAAGAACATTTTTAGGTGAAGAGCAAAGAAATTTCAATAGACATTGATGCTTATTGTGTGTCAAGCTTTGTGCTAAGGTGCTAGGGGAATAAGATAGTATAACTAAAAGGGCTCAATGTATAGAGAAGAAATAAATATGTAATGCAGTAAAGTGTAGTGTGTGCTCAGATTGAAGTATGTATAGAGTACAGTTGCAGTTTGAAAAAGAGTGATTAAGGGTGATGCTCTTCAATTCAGAATTTTCTGGCTGGATGTGGTGGCTTACATCTGTAATCCTAGCACTTTGGGAGGTGGAGGCAAGGGGATTGCCTGAGCTCAGGCATTCAAGCCCAGCCTGGGCAACTTGACACGACCTTGTCTTTACAATTAAAAAAAAAAAAAAGCCGGGCTTGGTGGCTCAGCCTGTAATCCTGCACCTTTGGGAGACTGAGGTGAGTGGATTGCCTGAGCTCGCGGGTTTGAGACCCGCCTGGGCAGCGAGACCTCATCTCTACAATAAATAAAAAAATCAGCCGGGCGTGGTAGCGCATGCCTGTAATTCCAGCTAGTTTGGAAGGCTGAGGGGGAAGGATCGCCGGAGCCCAGCAGGTCAGAGTGAGACTCCAGCTCAAAAAAAAAAAAAAAATTTAGCCAGTGTGGTGGTCACGCCTGTAGTTCCAGCTACTTGGAAGGCTAAGGTAGAAGGATCACCTGAGCCCAGCAGGTTGAGGCTGCAGTGGCCATGAGTGTGCCACTGCACTCCATCCTGGGTGACAGAGTGAGACTCCAGCTCAAAAAAAAATTTTTTTTTTTCTGTAGGTACTTTGTATATAATAAAGGTAAAAATAAAAGCTATTGTCATCCGCTGTGCATTTGTAGGATGAGGCCTAGCCTCATTCATAATGGATAATTCAAAGCCTTGTCCTGAATTTTAACGTTTGGCTATTTCACATCATTGCTTTCATTTTGAGTGTCATTCTGCCCAATACCTTTTCTTTTCTCACCTTTTTCCCTGCCAAAAACAAAACAAAAAACCAACTACAGCTTTACTTTGTAGTATTTTTTTAAACATATTTTATTTTAAAGATGTTAGGTACAATTCAGGATTAGGTATACAAGTGGACATCATATAGGTAAAGTTTGGGCCTCCCGTTGGTCCCCACTTTGCCTGATTTGAAATCAGGTACCCTTACTGATGTTGTGTTCCCCATCCCCAACCCTGGCAGTATCCTGCTACTACCAATCCCTTTCTTATAGTATTATGGTAAATGTTCAGGATCCATTTATGAGTGAGAACATGTGGTACTCTGTTCTTTGTTTCTGTGATATATCACTGAGTGTTATTGACTCTAAATCCATCCAAGTTGCTGAGAAGTTCATATGTTTGTCCTTATTTATGGCTGCGTAATATTCCATTGTGTACATGTACCATATATTTTTTTTGCCCAGTGCAGTTTTGATGGGCAGCACAGTTGGTTCCGTGTTTTTGCTATTTGTGAATAGTGCTACAATAAACATGCATGTGCAGGTATCTTTTGTAGAATGCTTTGAGTTCTTCTGGGTATATTTCCAGATGAATTGCTGGGTCATATGGAAGGTTAATTTCTAGTTCTTTAAAAATCACCGCACTGTTTGACATAGAGGTTGAACTAGTTTGCATTCCCACCAGCAGTGTAGCAGCATTCCCTTTTCTCCGCCTCCTTGCCAGCATTTGTTGTTGTTTGTTTTATTAATGATGGCCATTCTTACTGGGATTAGGTGGTATCTCGATGTGGTTTTAATTTGCATTTCTCTGACGATTAGTGAGGCTGAGCACTTTTTCATATGTCTATTGGCTACCTGTATATCTTCTTTTGAGAAGTGTCTGTTCATGTTTTTTGCCTACTTTTTAATGGGGCTGTTTGTTTTTCCTTTTAGTATTTCTGGCTACATCTCCTAAGAGGTTCAGTAGTCGGTATCTTTTTCATTATAGGCAAGAAGAGAGGCGGAGGCGGTCCTTCCAGGATTACACTGGGCAGAAGATCACCCTCGAGGCTGTCCTGAACACTACCTGCAAGAAGTGTGGCTGTAAAGGTAAAGTGCAGACTCTGCCATTTCCCTCTTTCTCTCCTTGTGAATGAAACCTTTCCTGGTTGAAGGAAGCAGCCCAGTGTGAGTTTGTCTTACCTTGTTTTTTAGACAGGTGATAGCTTCACTGCTCATGCTGTTATTCTTACCAGGCTTGCATCAGAGATTGTGGCTTGATGCTTTTTCCGTTTACTTTTCTGAACACTGGCCCTGCAAGATACCATATCACTCTCACCACTCCCTCCACCCCACCCCCAGCTGATGCCCTGCCTAGGCAAGTTTCCCATATACTGTGCCTGGCAGGGTAAGGGTGTTGGATTATGATTAACACTCTAAATTTTATCATCGGGGATTATTATTATTCTGTAAAAATTTAGTAGCCGGGCTCGGTGGCTCAGCCTGTAATCCCAGCACTTTGGGAGGCCGAGGTGAGTGGATTACCTGAGCCCGCGGGTCCGAGACCTGCCTGGGCAACTTGACAAGACCTCATCTCTACAATAAATCAAAAAATGAGTCGGGCGTGGTAGCGCGCGCCTGTAGTTCCAGCTACTTGGAAGGCTGAGACGGAAGGATTGCCGGAGCCCAGCGGGTCGAGGCTGTGGTGGCCGGGAGCGGCCACTGCACTCCAGTCTGGGTGACAGAGTGAGACTCCAACTGAAAAAAAAAAATTTAGTGACTTAGAAATACATTCATTAAAGATCCAAATTAAACCTTTCTTTACATTATCTCTTGAATATCAGTGTTCAGAATATAATTCTTTTCACTAATAAAAAACACAGGATGGTCACTTCCTTTTAGCTCTATTTCTTCAGGTTTCCCCTACTCTTGCTCAAATATTAAAAAGCTGTTTCAGCCAGACTTCCCTTGTTGGAGCTTAATGAGAGAGGTTGCCAGCTTCTCGTTTTCAGAGTGACCTCAATTTGTCACCCCTTCTCCCTAACCTTCCATGCATCCTGCTCTGTTGATTTTTCTACAATAACTGATAGCAGATTTGTGCCCTGATGGAAATTGTGGGTTTTTATAAAGTGCCTACTTATCATTAATGTAAAGGGAAGGGTGAAAATTGAGAGTAAGAATACCTCCTTAGGAGAATTGTGGGGAACATTCCAGATATTTGGAAAACTCCATATTTCCCTTTCAGACACCATCCACCTTTTGGACCCAGAGGTACAAAGTAGTTTATATGTGGTTGTTTAATTATCTCATACAATTCCTTTGTGCCCCGGTACAGGATCTTCTACAGCTCACATGAGCGAGCAATGCAGGGCATAGCATCTGTTAAAGGACCTCTCATTACCACTATAGGAATAGGTACCGTAGGGTCTCTTACGTTCAACCTGTGTCCAACAGGAATTACGTAAGGCAGAGAAGAATAATGAGAGGTGGAATTTGTCCGAGTCCGCTAAGGTCAGGCCAAAGGTAGTTGGGTTTTGGTACAGCAGAAAGAGCACAGGACAGGGAGGCATGAGACCCAGGATAAGTTTGAACTCTGCTGTTGTGTGACCTTGAGCTACTTCTCAACTCTGGGCATTCATATCCTCTGCAAATGTAGTATGTTGAATTTGATGATCTTTAAGGCCCTTGCTTAGAGATTACTGAGCAATCTGAATATTCAGTGATGCTAGGTGACTGTGCCTGTTTCTCTCTGTGTTAGCTTGGATATGAGTGCCCACTTACTGCCAGCTGTCTACAAGCTACCTTTCCTTAGGGCTTGGCCTTCCACTCAGCTCCCTTTGCTAAGAAGCATCCTGCTCTCTGGAGCAGCCTTAATTTTTTTGAGTTGGAGTCTCACTCTGTTGCCCAGGGTGGCATGCAGTGGCACACTCACGGCCACCCCGGCGTCGATCTTGCTGGGCTCCAGCAATCCTTCCTCTTCAGCCTTCCGAATAGCCGGAACTATCTGTGCCTCCCTGTCCTGTGCACACTACCATGCCTGGCTAATTTTTTGTTTATTGTAGAGACGAGGTCCTCGACATGTTGCCCGAGCTGGTCTTGAACCCACAGGCTCAGGCAATCCACTTGCCTCTGCCTCCCAA